TACGTGTATATGTGTATGTATATACGTGTATATGTGTATGTATATACGTATGTGTGTATATGTGTATGTATATACGTATGTGTGTATATATACGTATATGTGTGTGTGTGTATACGTGTGTATATACGTATGTGTGTATATATACGTATGTGTGTGTGTGTATACGTGTGTATATGTGTGTATATACGTGTATATATGTATGTGTATGTGTATATATGTATGTGTGTGTGTATATATGTGTGTGTATATACGTGTATATATGTATATACGTGTATATACGTGTATATATGTATGTGTATATGTATATATGTGTGTGTATATGTGTATGTATGTATATACGTATGTTTATGTATGTATGTATATACATATGTGTATATGTATATATATATGTGTGCAATACCCAAACCAGTAAAGTGCCCTCTACCTGCTGTAGTGTTTGATTGAATGAATTAACACTACTGGATATACCGTGGCGTCTGGACAGGAACAATTCATAATCTATAGCAGGAACAAGAATCCAAACTAAAGCCGTTGTCGTTCACTTGCAGCCTCCGTCTGCCAGTTTAGAGGAGTGAGGAGTCAGCAGTTAATGGCTGTATAAAACAGTCAATAAAACAGGTTTTTCAAAAATTGTGAATCACTGTAACCACGTTAGGCCCTTGAGCATACAGCCCAGAAAAATATTAGGCTATTGCTTCCAGTAGTATGCAAGATTAGCTATAGACAGACAGACAGACAGACACGCACACACACACAACAAAAACACATGATCCCCTCCAGGCTTACACCTGGCAGAGAGACAAATTGGTGTTGTCAGTTTATTCATTTTCATATTGAATTTGATGTTAATTACTTTTAGAAAGCTTTACATCCCTGACATGTTGTGTCTGCATTTGCAGCTACTTTCTCTCCTAGTTGTGTCTGAACATGTCTCCCTCTTCTAACTCCTTCTGTGTGCATATATCTCTCTCTCTGTGTTACAGTTCCTTGTAAAATCGTCCGCTCAGGACGTCTCGTTGACCCTTCCCTTTACTGTTCCTACGGTGACGTCAATGACATCACTGCTGCGCCAGGGGGAGGGGCTCATCACCAACCCTCACCACGTCATATTGGTCCTTGGAGCGCTGCAGTTGGTGCCCCTCCACCACTTGACCCCAACCGTCTACCAATCGGCGTTCCTTGCGGTTCATGAGGCGCTGTTCGCCATCATCCAGTGTCATCCTCAGGTATGGAGAAGGGGTGAATGGAGGGAGGAAGGGAATGGTTGAGGAAGCAAAGTGAGAGGAAGTGACATAAGATGAATGAATATAATATGCACCGTGTAGCCGTGAGTGTGTTCGAGAGCATTACAGAGAGACCGTTTAGAAGAACGATGGCACATATCTACACTTGGCTCAAACTACTGCGGTGTAATCCAGCAGTCCTGTAACACACCTTCATGAAGGTTTTAATGTTCACTGTCTGTTGAAACTGCTTTAGAGAGGTGTTGGTTCAACTGTATGGTCAGTTTGTGATGTTGTGTCGAACTGAGAGATGTTTCTACTTTTATGGCCCACCCATTTCCATTTATATTGTTGAGGGTTGGCTGAAAAACACCTTTCTGTGTGACGTAGTCCATCAGTCAAAGATAATGCCTTAAAAGATGGTGCTCTGTGTAGTAAAGATGTGAATAAAACATTATCTATTGAGTTTAAAGGATCATTGTTGACAGTGGAAATGTATCCTGTAGGTTTTTAAAGGAAATTATACGTATTCTAAGAATCTCTGAACTCATAGTGTGCCCCCCCCCCCCCCCCCCCCCCACACACACACACACACACACACACACACTTATGAAACCAAACGTAACTCTTCTGTAATGAAGTTCATTACAGCTCAAAGCTGCTGAATTGAATACCTGCTTTGAAGAAAATGTGGTTTTAAACTGAGCTCACAGGATGCCTCAGAGGAATGTCTCTTTTAAATAAAGGATACTGCAAATCACTAGAGTCATGCTGCAGCTGCACGAAAACCTTATAAAGTCCAAATTCTCAGCTTTTACTGGAAGTGCTCGCATAGCACCCAAAGTGTCAAAAACAAAAAACCCTTTTTCTTTGTAGAGACACACTTCACTAGAAATGTAAAAGATTTAAATCCACATTCCAGCCCACACACAAACCTTTGCTCGGTTTACGAGTTGCGTTTATGTTATGATGGACGTTCATGTGATAATTTTTTCGTTACTTGTTTTTTTAAAATGTTGACGGTTCACAAACAATGACATAATGCGACTGAAGCGGAGCAGCTGCATTGAATCAAACGGGGCAAGAATCAGCTAACTGATATCAGATGTTTGTGAGGACAAAAGACTGCTGTAAAGGAGAGCAGAGAGGGAGGGGGGGAGATAAAAGTTAGGAGGAGGGGACATTTATAGAGGAAGAGAGGGGAATAAAAGCAAATGATAGAGGGTTGAGGGGAAAAAGCACTAGGCGGAGAGCAAAAGACGAGATGTGATTTGAATGCGATGCACAAGGGAAGTTTCTGGAGAAAGTAGAAAAGAGCGGAGTAAGCTGGAGAAAGGAGGAGTGATAGGACAGAGGGGAAGGAGGGAGGAGAGGAGAAGAGAGGTAGGGGAGCTGGCATGCAATGGTGGTTGGCATGAATCTGGTTTAAGTCAATGGAAACTATTACCGAGCTCCAATTAGAGCTGTGACATCATCTCCCCTCGTTTATATTCTCTCTCTCTCCATCCCTCCGCTGTAGGCCTTGAATAGAGAACAAAGAGAGAGAGAGGTGTGGACAGAAATGCAAACGTAGCTCTTGTGGGAATCCGACTTTTACCTCAGTCATTTATTGGACTGTAGGTTTATGGCAGCTCGGTTATGACTCGAGCAGTGAAAATGATGCAGTTGGCTGACGTTGCAAAGTGTTTTTGAAGGCTGTGCCATTATGTTAAGTGGAAATGTTCTGCACAATTTTCTACACGTTTCCCTGTAATCTAACCGACATATTAGTTGTTTTTAAATAATCAAATCTCCTCTACAACACAAAGTGAAGTCATGAGGGTGTAAAATACTGCAGAGCGACGATATGAGAAGTTGGTCTGGCAGAGTGGGATTCATGTGAATGTGAAGTCATACTGTAAAGTCAGTCGGATGTATCCATCCCTCCATACAGTTGAGGTTTTTCCAAACATAAACTTGCTCCAGTGGTCATCTCTAACAACTCTTTTGCACAAGAGTGGTTTATTCTACTACAAATGTTTTACTGTATAAATGTGTTGCATGTATACCTCTCTGGTGCCCAGGTGATGTTGAACGCAGCTCCGTCATTCTTAAATGTCTTCTATCGTCTGGTGGCGTCCATCATGCAGGAGGGTCGGCAGAGAGGAGACAGTGACACAGGTAACCCGTACAGACTCATTATAGACTCGTTATATTACCATGAATGAATGTGGAGAAAACCATGTTGGTTTGGAGAGAAACACTCTCTCAAAACGTACTCACATATACTGTTTGATCTGGGTCTGGCTTGTGGTTTGATGCCCCTCTGTAACAAATTGAATTTATACAAATGAATTGGAAAGTCAGTTTGTTGCTTTATTAAGTCTTTCTACCTTTTTTTCCTGTAACTGGTATGTAACTGTTGGCAGTTTCTGATACTCAGTCAACAGCAGCAGGCTTCCAGAAATAGACAAATGTTGAAATGGTCACAGTCTTTTCAGTCTAAACCCACTGTAAACTGCAGACATCTGTTGCATAAATCTCTACTTAGTCAACACAAAAATGATAATAACAAGCCAATCAGTCTTCTCTTTTAGCAATGACACCAAGAAACAAAGTCCAGGCTATAATCCCTCATGTATACCTGGGGGTGATATCTAAATTGACAAACTTTTTTTTAACATCAATCTGTTTTCTTTGACGTCCAGACGGGGACGTTTATCTCCAGTGCTCCAGGTTGATAGAGAGGATGTACTCTCACATTGCTGCTACAGCCGAGAGCTTCACCACACTGTCGGCCTTCATGGTGGCTCAGTATGTCACAGAGCTACAGAAGGTACACACACACACGCACGCACACACACACACACACAGTTACTGTATCATACAGAGTCAACACGGTTCCTCATCCAAACCCTTCTGTCATCCCCGCTGATTTTCCACAGCTGTGGGTCACGCACGCACGCACGCGCGCACGCACGCACGCACGCATGTATGAATGAGGCAGCAGGATCTCAGCTGATACTTTGATCCAGCACAGTTTGTCTGGATGTGCGCGTTGAGCTGGCGAGATTCAGCCGAGCGGAGTGACAAGAGACGCTGACGCTCAGAGGCAGAGATGGGAGGTTTATTTCCATTGGCCAGATTGTGAATGTTCACAAATCTGAATGAACGGGTCCAGGATTACTGTAACTCTGTGTGCTTTAGGCTGGATGTTCCCACAGAGCAGTGAGTCACGTCTGGCCGGTGAACGTGGCTCCTGTCTGCTACCAGACTGTATTTAACATGACGCCAACCTGACTCGGCAGTTTCCACATTGAGAGGAAGACATGAAAGTGCTCATCCAGACAGACAGACAGGCGGGAAGATGGACAGAGAGACAGACAGAAACTGTGAGGAAGAGGTGTTCGGGATCCTTTTGAGCTCTGTATGAGTCATCTAATTATCTCAAAATTGGATTTCTATTGTGCTTCAAAGATATAGACCTCTTTGTAAGTCAGAGGTAATTTAGCCGTCTCTGTGTCGGCGCTGTTTCTCATGGCTCTTAGCCTGAACTGTGTGCAGCAGCCAGGTGTTATTAGACTGCAGTTAGAAAAACAGTTTTTATACTGGTGGAGTTTGTGAATTTAGGGATTTGTTTAAAGTTAGACTTGCTATTCTATTTAAAAACCCTATCGAAAGAGTACTCTACTGATTTAGCATTGGGCACAATTTAAAGAGAGAGCGTTCAGAATTGATGCACCATAATCAGAGATATTGTCATTTTTATTCCACCAATTCTTCTTGTACACATAATGTAGCTCCGAGCTGCTGGCCTCAATCAGAGAGGAGGAGTGGGCTACAGAGGACATAAAACTCACTTAAAGTTAGTCAAACAAGTGTTAAAGTGTTTGGATTAAAGTTTGGATGTGAGAGGAGACAGTGACTCATCAGCTTCCAGGTGCCTCTTAGTCCTACTAGGACCTCAGACCCGAAATATAACCGTCCATCAGCGTGCTGCTGCTGCTGCTGGACTCTGGTTCTCTTCAGGCATCGCAGAATCCAGATCCGGGTACGATACCGACACCAGAGATCTAGACAGTTGGCGTGTTTCTAACCGTAACTCTGGCAGACCGCTGCGCCACATGACATGTGATAGGTTAGCTTTGTTTGCAGAAAACCCATCACAGGTTGTTTTCTTCTTAATTTGAAGCCTGTAATCGGGTGAGCGTGGTCTTATCTAATCATTTAACAGGTACAGGCGGAGTGTAAGTCATCTTTCACAATGATTCATGTCAAAGATCTGAGGACCGTGGTCCAGCCCACTGTACAAGCCTTCAGGTGTGTACCACCTGTGGGGGTATGAAGTAACAGGGAGGAATAACCAGACACTGTTTAATGTTCTCCTGGCTTGTTATGCAGGGTTCACTGAGCACGAAGATATTTTGTGTGTGTGTGTGTGTGTGTGTGTGTGTGTGTGTGTGTGTGTGTGTACACGCGGTTGTTGTTGTTGGAGGAGAAAGACAGCAAGACGGGCCCTGTGTTGGTTGTTGTTGCTTCTGTCACACAGGTAGAATTGAAGTGTTTGAACATTTTCTGAACCTCAACATGTTTTAAAAATGAAACCGTTCAGTTTAGTTCAGAGCAACAGTCGAGAACAAGAAGAGTGAATGTGACTATAAACTCAATACCACATCTAGAGTACAGAAGGATGAAAATAAGCACCTCGGCAATAAGGTTATGATATTTTATTGATCCTCTTTAGGATGTTTTTTAAAATCCAAGTTCATGGACCAGTTCTTTATAACCAGCCGTCGTCTCCATTTGCCTCGTTAAATATTGGATGTTCCTGCTCCAAACAGGAGTAATTAATTGATCATCAGTCTCGTCCCTTCGGAGTCCTGCTCTTAACATTTGAATGAACGTTTTGCCAGGATAGATGATGTTGTCTGCGCTTTGATGCCACTCAAATTGAGACCCACGCTTATGAAGCTGGATGCGAGACTTAAATTAATATTCAACTATTGTGGCACATAATTTGTGGCTTGATGGGTTTGCCTCAGGCTGTCCCTCAGGCTGTATGTAGACGTACAGTAATCATGTTCCCAATGATCAACTAAGAAAGAGAAAAGACGTGCGATCTTAAAGTGCATGAGGAAAACGTGGACGAGATGAGTCGCTGTGTGAGTGAAACAGGACGGGTCATTGCTGCCTGGTGTAACCAAACCTATTGATGGCGAAACAAAGGTTTTATTCAGGAAGTAGATATGAACATTGTTTGACCTCATCCTTTAAACTCTTGTCTTTTCTTCATTTGTCTCCTCGGCTCTCTTCTTCCCTTCGCCCTCTTCAGGTTACTCTGCGACCAGACGTTAAGCTGCATCTGACTGAGGGCATCTACCGGATACTGGACCTCTGTGTGGAGCAGGATATCAAGTTTCTGACGGCTGGACTGCAGATGGGAGTCAGAGAGGTGTTCAATGAGCTGTACAGCAGCTACACCCACTACCACAAAGCACAGAGGCAGGGAGAGGACAAGTACACCGTTTGAACAAGCACGCTCAGCATTTATTTTAGATTTCAATTTGATTCTATTCGGATAAACTTTCTTGCTATGGAAAGACTTTGTTTATATTCAATTTCTGCTTTTGAATGGGATGAAATCCTGGTATGGGATGAATATTTTGAAATAAGACATGGCAGCTTGTGGATACCTTATGATGTCCACAGAGTTTAAACACAGTTGTCCTTGTTGTTAAAATTGGGAAATTGTACAGTTGCTTTGAATTCTGCACATAAACACAATACAATAATCAATAAACAGCGGCATCTCAAAGTATAATGTTGTTTGTACCCTCACTTATTTGATGTTTTGAATACATAAAGCTGAAAATAGTTAAAAAATGATGCAGCCAAAATTGCTCCAAAATGGCCCTTGGTTTGTTTTTACCAGACCCACATGCATCACTGCCTGATAATCAGTCACTGTTTAATATTTGTTGTCTGCAAACACACAGCAATCTTCAGGTGGATCTCTTTGGTTACACCTTGTACCTTCAACATGCAGCACATGGCTGACTGGAGGAACAGCAGCTAACTAGAGGACCTCAGAATGACCTCTCACTGCATCCATGATACATGTGTGAAACGTTTTAGAATTTAAAGATGGTTTCATTTCATTGAATTGTTAAAGAAAATATAGATATCTGTGAATTATGCTTTGTTTATTGCTGTCTGTCTTTTGATCCAAACATAAACATTTAACATCATTTGAAATTCAATGCCGTCTCAAGTGTGTTTATTTGCTGAGAGGAACTGTGAGGGCAGATTAAAGAGGACGAAGCAGGATTTGAACTTGGGAAGTTGTAGTTACATGCTGATCCATCTTTTAGACTGGCAGGTCCACTGTGACACTTCACAGGATTATGCTTTTTATTTGTAGTAAAGAGCCAGACAAAATACAGGTGGATGGACTGTTTGTATCCAAAAAACACAAAACAAGAACAAAATGAATAATTAAGATATCAGTCATAGCTCTGTTGCTGTAAAATATTTAGAGGAAATTGGTTTCAAGGAATGATGTATCAGATAAATATAGTGTAGTAAAAAAATATATAAAATGGACTCTTGGCCACTGTGCCTGCATGCACAATACATACTCGCTCTCCTTTTGCAGAAAATGGAGGCTTGCTTTTTAAGGGTAAGTCGCCAGGTTATGCAAAACAGCAGTGTAAAAATAGTATGTGACATCTGACAGCTGTCTCAGATCATGTGATCGAGGGCAGATGTTGAAATGTTCCTTCCTCATAGTTTGGCTGATGTTTCAAGGATCATTTTAATTTAAACATACAAGATTTCAGTTTGAATCTAGGCGATAAAGCTGACTTCAGTTTGCTCATGATTATACTATTACACCATGAAAGATGGTTATGAAATGCATGCATGTTAATGTTATTCAGAGTAACTAATTACAGGCACTACATTACAGTTAAGATGGCCGACAAGCTCACAGCCAAGAGAGGAACTTGTTGCCTCTTTTCTATTTCTGGAAGAGCAGACAGCCTAACGGAGTTCTTCTGAGGACATTTGAGACCCTCGTAACAGTTATTCAAAAGATAAAACACTGTGCTGCTAAATTCGCACATCTGTTTCGCTGCTTCTCACTCCACCTCTCCCATTGGTTTGACTTCCATCCATCCATGCTGCAACACTACTGTAGGTAACATAAACACACCGAGTCTCTGTTCAGACCACCGTAGCGGGAGCAGCAATGAATAAGTGTGTGTGTGTGTGTGTGTGTGTGTAATACTACTGGGACACTCTTTGGAGGCACAGAACAACGTGTGTATTGAGAGCACTTTTTTTTTTTTTTTTAACTGTGGGCCATTTTGCTCCTTCGATCAAAAATGACATTTAGTCACCATTCAAATGAAAAATGTCAGAGGCAGATTGAACCACGCTGAACATGAACGAGACCTTTTATTTTAGCCAAAGGACAGACGGAGCTGGTCTGAGTGCCACAGACCACAAAAGTACCAAGTGGTTCGACAATGACAGGATGACTTGCTCCTAAATGTCTCACAATATTTATGTTACTTCACAAATGCTTCTTTTTCTTTGTGGCTGAAAGTTGCTGCATTTTATGAAGGCCCCTTTCTGCTGCTTTAATGGCCCCTAAAATCAGTTTTTGTTTTTTTGTATTGGCTTCTTATGATGGTGGAAGAAGTATTCAAATATTTTACTCAAGCACAAGAAGTAATACCACACTACAGAAATGCTCAATTACAAGTAAAAAGGTATTATCAGCAAAAAGGTGACATTTCCACACACACAGAGCTGTCGAGCAGTTGATCTCTTAATAAATACTGTCTCGCAATGTTTTTCAGACTTGGGCTTTGATTGTTGCATATTTACTCATGAATATTTGATATTGTAGAAAAACATTTTCACACGCTTTAAAGAAAATCCCAAACCATGTCTTGTTAATTTACGTCTTTGTAACTGCATTGTTATTATTAACATTATAAAGTGTTCTCTTCTTCTTCACGATGAGGACAGACCTTCTCATGAACTGTTGTATGCCACATCATAATTAATCAAGACTTTGTGGTTCCTCTGGTATTTGCAATAAGACCAAGAAGAACCGACAAGGCGCAATTCAAAATATATACTGAAATGTGAAATGTGCGACATTTCCGCCACACAAGCTAATGTAACTGAGTTAAAAACATGCACAAATCTAAATTTAAGTTTCAGCTAAAGTTTCGGCTAATTACATTTCAAACGGGACCTAACGTGTGATGCAGACTGGTTTGAGTACAGATGTGCTGCAGCTGCTGAGACCCAGATGAACAGGGCTGAGAAGCTAATGGTGTATGGTTGTGATTGTTTTAGCTTGGTTTGACATTCTACTTTGGGCTTCCAACTAAAGGTTAATGTCATTATTGATTACTCTGCTGATTATTTTCATTGTCCATCACAACATCCTGATCCCCAGGGTGACCGCTTGTTTTGTCTGAGGTCTATTCCAAAAGATACAAACAAAGGGAAGGAGGAAGGGAGAAGTAAAGGAAGGAAGCATTGAGGGAAGGAAGGAAGACAGGAAGGAAAGAAAAAATAAGAGGAGATGAAACTGATACTCTTCCATCCTTTTCGGTTGTCTCTAGCTTTGGTAGCCTGGTTGAGGACCAGAGAAGACAAAGGAAAGGAGGGAACACGGGGACAAAGGAAGGATAGAACAGAGGAAGGATGGAATGAAGGAAGAAACAAAGGGATGGAGGAAAGGTAGAACAGAGGAAGAAAGGTACAAAGTGTGAAAAGAAAGAAGGGAGGAGGAGACAAAAGAAAGAAGGAAAGAAGGAAGGAGGGAACTAGGGTAGGAAGGAAGGATAGAACAGAGGCAGGAAGGAAGGAAGGGATGAAGGAAAGGACCAGGACAGAACCAGTGAAGATTTAAAAAGAAGATAAAATATTTTGCTTTTTCTTACTTAACTCGGGATAAAGTGTCTCTGGCGCCCCTAGCGTCTCCTCTGAGCACGTGCATCTCCACACCAGACAGTGACACTGTAATGATGATCACAGATCTCTCTCTCTATCTGTCTCTCTCTATCTGTCTCTCTCTATCTGTCTCTCTCTCTCTCTCTCCCTCTTTCTGCTCCCACAGCCACATAACTGAGGTTTTACAACAACCACTTCCTACAAGGTCTGTCCCCTCCCACCCCCTCCGCTCGGCTTTAGCACGGAACCGCACGGCACGGCTCGCCTCGCTGTCAGCCCCGGCCCTCCTCCAGGGCTTCCTGAGACGGCGTGTGATTGGATTAGACTCGGATAGCCTTTGCCCTCTCACCCCGCTGATGTTGGCTGGGTGCTTCCTGCTCCCTCCGCTCCCCCCGACCGACTGACGAAGCTTGCCAAAGCCTCACGGCGAAGCGCCCTGCACGGACACAGCCGACCGGGACGAGCCGCTCCAGCCCGACAAGAGTACGAGCCACGAAACACACGGGCAGGCGGACGGGGAAAGAAAAACCGAGGCAGCCATGCGGAGGAAATCGAGGATATTGTTATGCTTTGCGGTGCTGTGGGTGCTGGGGATAGCCTACTACTTCTACTCGGGGACAGCGTTGAGCCGAAAGGTAGGATTTACGTTCCTCGATCGCTGTTTTACTCTCTCTCTCCCGGCTGCACGGTCCGTCTCGGCGTCCGTGTGGATCCTTTTTTCTCCCCGGACAAAGCGAAGATGGAGCGGTTGTGCTTCGGCGGTGCTGTTGTGTCTCTCTTTTTTTCGGGGTGCTCTGTTTCTGCAGCTGCACCGATGCTGTGAGGAATGTGATAAAGGGCCTGCTAGTATCAGTGGGCAGGCATTGATTTGGTGGAGATGAGTGTAGACAAGGGCAGCAGGGTAGCGGGGCTGGCCGGGTCAGCGTGCACGGACCTCCCGCTGTGCCGGTGATTGCCTGCCCGTGTAAAAGTGGGAGAGGAGCACGTCCACGCCGGGGGCAGCCTGTCAGCCGCTTTAACGTGGCGGCGCCGGTTGATGTGACAGCGGAATAAAGGTGAAAGCATGCATAGTGATTGTTATTAATACGAGGCTGCTGGCCTGGCTCACAGGGCCGGGGGCGGGAGGGGTTAGCCTGTAGAGCACGTCAGCACAAACTCTGCTGCTCCCAGAAATGAGCAGAGATCAGGAAGTGTGCAGATTAAAGCAGAGTTAAATCACTGATATGCAAAAAAAGATATCCCATATATATATATGGATTTAAGTCTGTGCGAAGAACCGAGATTCAGTTTAACCATGTCCAGATTGTCTAGTTTGCTGATGGCCTCGGCTGTGTGATAGAAGTTTTATTTCACATACACTCAAATGTCAGATTTGTTGCTACACACAGTTTAAGTTAATGCAGTCTTTATTGTTTTTATGATGTGTTTTTGAGATACAGCATTACGTTTCTAATATTTTGTCTACCCCGTTTATATAAGTGTTGACTAAATATTATAGCTGGAACAATTGATTAGTTGATTGACAGAAAATGTGCTTTAAGTCATTTCTCAAGCAAAAGATGGCAAACAGTCCAACTTTTCAGAATTTGCTTCTTTTCCTTTTCTTGAATTATATTAAACTGAATATCTTTCTGCGTTGGACTGTTTTCTGACGTTAGAGCAAACGATCAATCAAGAAATGACCTGCTGGCAGAGTAATCGATGATGCAAGTACTTGTTAGTTGCAGCTTTAATAGTAACAATTATAACTCAGTTCAACAGCATCACCACCAACTACATCCTCCAAAATGACCATGAAGTTGAATCAACATCTCTCTAAAACAGAAATTGAACAATATAACCTTCATGAAGGTGCAGGACTGTTGTATTGCATTAGTTTTAGGGAGGTGTAGTTTATAAACTAGTCATTGCTTTCTGCTGAAACACAACATTTATCCGTTTACTCTTTCATATGTGGCTACTTATGTTTCCTGTGTGCTTCATGTAGTTGGTTTACAACAACTTCTTACATTAGTCGGCCTTTATGTTAATGCAGCATTCTTTATACTGCAGCAGCAGCAGTAGAAGGTAAGATGGACTTTGTGCATGTAAAGGCATGGATTCCATTCATGAAATACCAGGCCTGTACATGCAGTAGTGTTATGTGTGAAATGTAAGACATGTTCCCATTGTACATACATTTACAGTGAGTGAGTGTGTGTGTGTGTGTGTGTGTATGTGTGTGTGTGTGTGTGTGTGTGTGTGTGTGTGTGTGTGTCTGCCTTTGCTAATGTAGGCCAGTGTCTCCTGCTGCTTGTGTGTGTGTGTGTGTATATGAAGTGCTCTGCGTGGGTGGTTGTGTGCCCAGTACACTCCCTCTATTACCGCTCTAGATTTGTGTGTGTGTGTGTGTGTGTGTGAGTGAGTGAACGCCCTGTGTGTGTAGTCCACCTGTCTCCTGTCTTGTCCTATCTGTCTCTCTGTGTTTGCTTTGCTCCAGTCAACCAGAGCAGCCCTTTTACTCTTCCATTAGGCTGATAGCTGTGCGTATCTGTGTGTGAGCATGCGTGAATGTTTGTGGTTGTTCAGGGGGTCAAAGGGACACTCCACGATAAGCAACTTTCACTGGAGTTGGATTGCAGGCAGCATTAACATGGTGTCGTTACACAAAGAGAGGTTTAAAACAAAGGTGGAGCTGCACAGGTCAACTCCTGTGTTCCATCACATCTTCATCTCCTTTTGAGCGAGTAGAGGCATTTAATCATTTCTCACTGCTGTCATCAAACAAACGTTGTAGCTGTAGGTTAGTGCATTTTTCAAAAGCACTCAAGATTCCCACAAAGACAGACAGATGGATTAAATCTACTGAACCAAGGACCTATGAATGTATAAGAAAATAAAAACTGAATTTGTAGTTAGTTGCTTCGCAGCCCTTTAAGAGCCACATCTAACGATTATTTAGATTATCAATGACTCCGCAGATAATTTCTTTCTATTACTTGTTTAGTCTATCAAATGACAAAATATGTGTCTGAATGACTGTCCAAAGCCCAAAGATATTCACAAAATTTCATGAAACAGAGAAAAACAGCAAATCTACATATTTGAGAAGCAGAAACTGAAGTGTTTCTTAATAATTAACTTAGTTGACGAGTACTGATCATCATAGTGCTCTTGTTATCAACCCATTATAATGGCATAAAGAGTTCCTTCATGGTTCTCTTCAGTGCCTTTTCATCTTTTTCCTTCTCTTTGTAACAGAGAGGTGAAGGTTGCAAAATATGGCTACTTCGTGTAGAGTTGCGGTAAAAGTGTGATTCATAAACGTGTACGTTCAGTCCTCAGTCAGACATTAGATAATGGCGACTCGCTGATGTCTGCAGACTGTTTAGCAGTGCAGAGGAGCATAAACAACAAGAAGCATGTCCGTGAGCAAAACTTGGATTTTTCCAACTTAAAAATTTCCATGCAACCCATGCGTCTAACTTTACACCTCACAAAGCTGCATGTTTTAGTCATCGCTGCTTCCAACCGCTGTGGTGAATCCAGCAGCCATGTGCCTGCCAGCCTGAGCAGGACTCACACTGTCATGGCAGCTGATTCAAACGCTCTGCTAGAAGAATTAGTTCAACCAGTTCCTTCAGCTCGGTCATACACACCCGTGATAATGTGGCTCTTCAGATCAAAGCGCCCACCAAACCGCATTTCTACTATTATCAGTTCAAAAGTATTCTTTTTTGGAAGAATGTCCCTCTGGTTAGAGTCTGTGCCAATTTAAAGACGCTGCTTGAACACAGTTTCAGTGCCTGTGAGCTATCACAGCGTCCTGTGCAAAATTTAACGTTGCCATTTCTGACAAATTCCTTACAAGTTTCTTTTTTTGTAGGTTTGGCAATTTAACTCTCCAGAGGTCTTGAGCAATGTTCCTCATATCTTTGATTATGAATTTAGACCTGCGTCACTGAGGAAGTTAGTCTTTCTTCTGTTCGTGTACACAGCGGTACAGAGTGTTCATGAGCGTTTCTGAGGTTTACTGGGCTGACTCACAGTGTAAACTGAGAGGATAGGAGCAGAGACTTGAGCTGACCTTTATTTCAGGTTTACCCACCCATCAACAACATGCAACTGAGGCACATTGGTCACAATTCACATTTGTATCTTGAAAAAGATAGAAATATATGGAAAATGTAAACATGTTTTTTTGCAGCAAAGGTCAATTTTTTTCTTATAAAACCTGCCCTTTGCCATCTTTTTACAGTCATATCTAGTACACAGTACGGATTCCTGCACTGTGTACTTTATGGATTCAAAGTTCTCCCCTTTCTTCCTCCTTCCACACACAATAAACAGTATGCAGAATGACAGGAAATGTTGGGAGGCACCCAGCAGCCAGACTCGGTACAAACATGTGCCAGTGTCTGTATTGTTGTACACAGGAGGACAATGTTGCAATCATGAGCCTACTGACACACCAGGATGCCCCATTAAAGTCTTCCTAGTTGGACAGACCTCAGAGGGCTTTTCCTGCCAGCTCTTGAGAGACCACCGTCCCACTGTTGAGTCCACTTTCCTGCTAATCAGCGAGCGTGAGAGGGAAGCTAAATGGCAGATAGTGAAGGGTGGCACCGAGCCACGGGAAAAACCAACAGACTTAGTAAGAAAGTTATCAGCTGTTTGATTAAATCTGCCTACAAACGGTAATTAGATTTATCAAAGTACTAAACAGGGGTGTTTTTTTTTCCTTAGAAGAGTTGTGTGGCATGTATAACATCCGGTTCAACCTTTATCGCATGTGTCATAGGAATGTATCGGCATTATCTCATAATATTCTTTCATACAATATAAACTGTAGTCGCTTTGACAAAGAATAGGAGGAGCAGGGAAGAATGACTCTGCAAGAACAAATCACATACACATGTGGTGAACACAGTCATGCACACACTGTCCACTGGCGATATGGAGCCCAGAGTATTTCTCAGAGTGTTGTGATTGGCCAGAGGTTTGGATTAGTTTCTGGTTGGTGGCAGACGACTCAGAAGGGAGTTCGGTGCAGCAAACCTGCGGAGAGGCACACGCATAAATCAGCTCAACGGGGATCCGGAGAGCTTTTAAAACGCCGGCTGGTCCAGAGCCTGTGGGTGAAAGTTGCAGCCTTTTGTTATCTGCAGCTCGAGGCCTTCAGCTTCCGCCTGTGCATGCATGTCTCAATGAGCGGCTTTATCAATCTGTCTCTCTTTGCCGGCCGTGTGGCTGCACCGAATGTGAGCGTGTTGCTGTTTTTACAGCAGGACGTATTGGAAAAATGCATCAGTCTCACCTCACACTCTCTGTCGGGGTGAAGGTGATGATGGTGCATTATTAGTGTGTTTGTTTAGTGGGTAGCATTATATGGAGCGAGGTGGATGCTGGCCCCTCAACACAGGAGCCCGCTCTGTCTGCTGGAGGAAGACGGGGACATCATCGTCGGCTCTCTCACAGACGCAGCAGTGCATCTGTAATCGTTACAGTCGATCCTTTTATTGTTTACGCACACTAATGTGCACGCACAGTGCTTTTCGCATAACGCTGATTACATGTGTTAGAGTTCCTGCTGTTGTGTAACTGCAGTACAATCATCGAGCTGAACGAGCTGTGGCTTTAAAGCCACTCGAGACTT